AAAAATAAAGTCTTTTCTTTTAAAGTAAATCCTCTTATTTATTTGGTAAATTCCAAAAAAGTAATAAAAAAAAATCCACCGGACTTTGTTTCCAAGTTTGAAGACGTTTCGCTTCCCATCCAGGAAGCTTTTTAGATTCAAAATGTCAGAAATAGTGTTGAGTTCAAGGCTTTATAGAGCGGACCAAAACAAAGCCTTGCTTTGGCTTAGAAAACATGCAAATTGAACCAGACCAACAGGCCATCATTTGGCTTCTTTGTTAGCCTTTAATACCTGATACCTGTCTATGTCTCCTAAAGGGGGGTTGTTAAAGGGAATTATTGGCCTGGCTGAATAGGCGAGGTCTTCTGTTCTCCTGTAGGGGTTGATGGGGTTGCCATGGTAGCGGGAATCGCTGTATTGTAGGTTTTTGAAAGTTGAAATCTGAGTTCATCCCCTCAGTTTAAGACTGGATTTTCTCTCTTAACATAGATGGCTTTCTTCACGCCTGTCTTCTTTTTCCAAAATGTGAACATTCTGGTTCTCAAAAGAATGTCCTTTGTCCATAACGTGTAGATGATCCAGAGGGTCTTGTCCAGAGGAGGTTGTTTCTTTGTATTGGGTCATGCGTCTGTGGAGAGGTTGTTTGGTTTCTCCAATATAAAGATCAGAGCATTCCTCGCTGCATTAAACTGCAGACACCACTCTGCTCATCTTAGGTCTGGGGGTTTGTCTTTAGGATGCACTAGTCTCTGTTTAAGGGTTTTGTTTGGTTTTTGGTCCGCCCTACAAAGCTTCTAACTCAACGCTATTTCTGACATTTTGATTTGAAAAAGCTTCCTGGATGGGAAGAGAAACGTTTTCAGAGTTTTTTTTGGAATGACTGAGAATCTTCACCAGCTAATTGGTAAATTGTCCGGCTTTCCTGCTGAAATCAAGAAAAATAGAAAAAGTCCCCTGACTTTGGTTTCAGTTTTTGCTGTAGATAAAATTCGTGAATAAGATCGTTTTTTTACATCCAAGTTCGAGACGATGAAAAATGTCCTGAAATGAAGGAAGTTGGAGTTGATCAGTCAGTCAATGAGGTTGGAGGCGACGTCTTTAGTTTCACCATTTCTACAAATAAAAGTCTATAAACATATATTAAGTTATTTCTTTTATCGTTTTCTTTAAGCCTAAAAGAATCTTTAAGACTAAAAAAATCTTAAAGACTAATAAATGAGTGCATAGATATTTCTCCAAACATTTCTTCTAGAAACTGTTTAAAATAAACGCTGTTGAGTGTTGAGCTGGTCACAGGTCAGGAGTGTTCGGTCGTAAAGGTTGCAGCTTTAAAACGGTGTGCATGTCTGACCAGCTGCTTTCTTTGGCCTCCCCTCAGGGCCTGTCGGACTACACCAAGTGGCTCACCCACTACTCCACCAAGAAGCAGGACGGGGTCGCCAAACCGATCAGCTGCCGGTCGTACGCCAGGTAGGATGGCGGCCTCGGAGCTGCCGCCTCCAGCCCAGCCTGTGAGCGGTCTGACGCAGGGTTCTGATCTCAATCCACAGGGTTGGACTGATGGGAAATCCCTCAGACGGCTTCAACGGGAAGACCATCGCCATGACGATCTCCAACTTCTGGGCCGAGGTCACGCTGGTGGAGAGCCAGACTCTGGTAACGGTAACTCCTCCTGTCTGTAGAGCAGCTTCAGGCTGGAGAAGCTGAACAGAAACCGCCTGGATCTGGTTCCAGGTTTTGGTCGCTCACCCCCTGAACGACCCCACAGAGTTCGGCAGCCTGCAGGACCTGTTCTGCATCAGCAGGAGGGAGGGGTGAGTGCTGGGCCCGCTGAGACGCAGGGCGGCGTTGATCCGAGTCATGCCAACAGGTGTCATGAATCTGCAGGTATCTGGGAGGTCTGCGGCTGCTGCAGGCCACCTGTAAGAAGTTCTACCAGTTCTGCTCCAAACGAGGGTGAGATTGTTTCTCTGTTGAAGATTCTCTTCCTTCCATCTGGGAGGTTTACCTGCACGGAGCGCCTCCGCCATCTTGGTTCCTCTATAGAGACTTTGATCCTTTAGCTCCTCGCCTCGTTTGTCATCATTTCTTCTCTCTCTCAGTTATTTGCACAGAGCGGATGTTCTTCATGGCTGCTCATGGTTTAGTTAGCCGTAGTTCTGATTCCAGCACTAAATGATCCGTTTGTCAAACCTCTGGGTTCATTCAGCTGCAGTTGTTGTGCCGCTGGACTCAGTCTCTCTCTGTTGCAGCATCGCTTTGACGAAGCAGAACTTCACCCTGAAGTACGACACCAACATCCCCCGTCAAGTGGTGAGCATCAGATTAGCCTCACTTCCAGCCTGTTTTCTGTCAGAATCGACCCAACTTGTCCTGTTTCCTTCCAGGGTTTAGCTGGAAGCAGGTAAATATTCCGGTTCTGTTGGTCGTATGAAACCATTTTCAGCAGAAGCATCATTTTCTCTGACCGCCCCCCCCAGTGCCATCGTTTCAGCGACTCTGAAGTGTCTAATGAGGTTCTACAACATCACTGCTGCTGTAAGAGGATCCAGGATTGGTTGATCATCTGTGCTGCTTTGTAAACTCGTTAATCTCTGTCTGATGCTGTGAAGGATCTGCCTGAACCGATCCGAGCCAACTTCATCCTCAGCGTGGAGACGGACGAGCTCTTCATCACGGCCGGCCTGCAGGACAGAGTGGTGCAGGTCAGGAAACGGCTCACTGACGT